GGGTGCTGTGCTAAGTGCTTCCCAGCCCCGGGTGCTGAGCTAAGTGCTTTTCTCAACCCCGGGTGCTATTCTAAGTGCTTTTCCCAGCCCAGGGTGCTGTGCTAAGTGCTTTTCCCAGCCCCGGGTGCTGTGCTAAGTGCTTTTCCCAGCCCAGGGTGCTGTGCTAAGTGCTTTACAGGTGCTTTGCATCCGTTACCCATCTGCAGTTAGTGCTGCTCTCATTTCCGCCTAACAGGGAACAGAGGCTGGAGGGGGGCAGGGGGCGTTTGCCTCCAGCCACAGTCGGGAAGTGACAGATGAGAGGACTGAGCCCCAGACAGTCCAGGGCCAGCGCGCAGACTGCTAACCACCCACCCCCAAGGCCTCCTGTCTCCCAGCCCACCTTCGCCCCGCGTGTGGATGACATCTCTACGGGACGGTAAATCAAACTGAAGGACAGAAGCGGCACAAGAAAGGACTGGAGTGCGTTGAGCCCACAGCGCAAGCGCAGCTCTGGTAGCCGAGTTAACCAGGCTGCGCGGGGGAGCTTCGCCCAGAGCTCAGGGGTTGTCAGCGGCTGCGTCCGCGCTATTCTGCGTGCGGCAACCTCGCCCTCTTCTTTTTCACGATGACGGCGACATCGTTTTTCAGCCTCCGCAAGCTGGACTCCAGCACGTCTCCCAAGTCCTTTAACCTCTGTGCCTGTTGCTGTACGAACGGTCGAAGCATTTCATCTTCCTCCTGGGAATGAAGGAACGGGGGGAGAGGATAGCAGCTTCAGTGGGGTGCCCGGAAGTTCTGCCGACGAGTCTCGTCGGAAAGTTGCCGGCAGAGGTGGTGAGTCCCCTGGGGGCCTGTCCAGCGTGGAGAAGGCCGCCGGCCCGGCCTTCGGTTGCTGCTGCTGGAGAGAAGGGCTCATTCAGATCGGAACGACCCGCACGCCTTTAATACCGGGGGAGCTCTGGGGTTTGCCAAGGACCGCGCGGGGGTGGGGGCGGGGGTGCGCCCGTCGGTAGCGGAGTGCGGGCTGCCTGCTGCGGGCCCCGCCCCGGGGAGGCAGGTGCAGGGGCGCGGGTGGGCCCGAGTGCCCGCGTGCGACAGTGGAGCGGAGGGTGACCGCGCTCACGAGCCGGGAGCGGGCAGAGGGCACCGAGCGTCCCTGCAGGTGGTTCCCGGATCACTGGTGAGATGGCAGCTCGGATACTTAGGCCATTGCTTCCAGTGTGTTTTCCATCCTGGTTTTCTCTTAAACGTCGTCGTTTATATTTTCTGAATACTACTCTGTGATGAAAAAAAAAAAAAATGGGGTGTGGCTTTTTTTTTTTTTTTTTTTTTTTTTAGCCTTGTTTACAGTGTCTTTCCCCTCATCAGGTTTTCTGTCTCTGCAACTGTGAGAGACAGGCGCACACGAGAACCCTTAATGTGTTGAAGGGAATACACCTACGCAACACAGACCTCCGCAGGTCACACCCTCTCTCCCCCAGGAACAACCACGACTAGCCTGACTTCCGTGATCATCATTTTCTTGTGCCACCTGGAATGCAGCCTGAACCGTATATTTTGTCCGTTTCCTGTCCATTTACGGAATCCTACTGGATGGCATCTTTGGTGGACTTGGAAGTCAGCGCTGACGCGTGGTGCTGAGATTCATCGACTGGCACGTGGCTGGGGTTCCCGGGTGGGGGGGCGGGGCTTCCCTGACCTCTCTTCCGCTGGGGTTTTCGGTGCCGGGTTGTTATGGAGGAGGGAGGGATTAAGAGCAGCTGGGGCATACAGGCGTGGGTTTCTGCAGAATTTTTCAGCCGGTCCCTCATCTGAACCACAGAATAGGAAATGGTCCGAGTGACTATTTCCTCAATTCTCTCAAGAACGGTGTATAACTAGAACCATCCTAGTACGTGGGAGACAAATCCGTGCATTGAGAGCCTAGTGAGGTGGTTCTCGGACTTCAGTTCGAGGCAGAATCACCTGGAGGGCTCGTTAAAGCAGGGGCTCCTGGGCCTCACTCCAGGGCTCTGGTTTAGCAGGTCTGGCAGGGGCCCTGGGGTTTGGACCTCTAAGACCCCAGATGATTCTGGAGCTGCTAGCAGGGAACCACCCTCGAGAACCACTGCTTGGGGGCCTTGGGGCCGAATCCTCTGCAGAACCAGCTGACTCTGCGAAGAGCTGAGTCGCAGGCTTCTAGGGTTGATGCATTTTCCCACTTTTATTAGGTAAGTGGCAAAAAATTTTTTTTCTAAGTGGTCGAACCAATTTAAACTCCTCCCGCCAATGCATTGGTTTCTGTTGCTTCATCCCGTCATCACAGCTGGGTATTTTTAGACCTTTAAGTTTTGCCAGCATGGTGGGTTTATAATACCGTTTCACTGTGGTTTCAATTAGTGTTTCCCGAACTACTCAAGAGGTTAAGCACCCTTTGATGTGTCTACTGGCCTTTTTTTTTTTTTTCTTTTTTTTCTGTTGGGCTGTTTTTCTTTTTGGTTTGTGTAGTTCTTTGCTTTGGATCTTAGTTCATTACATGTTAAACGTGTTGTGTGTAAATAACCTTTCCTGGCCTCTTTTGCCTTTATTTTGGTATCTGGGCCAAAGTGTACCATTTAGTACAGGTGCGTCTATCGGTGTTTCCCTTGACAGCCGGGTGTTTTCTCCTGTCCTGTCACCGCAAGGTCATGATCATCTCTAGGCTTTTTACCTTTTGCGGTTGGGTCCTTAGTTGTCACCTGAAATTGGTTTCTGGCTATAGTCTTAGATAAGATTCCAATTTCATTTTGGAATGCATTTGTATGCATTCTTTTTTTTTTCTTTTTAATTTTTAAAGTTTATGTATTTATTTTGAGAGAGAGAGTGGGAGGAAGAGAGAAAGGATTGCAGGCAGGCTCCACACTGTCAGCACAGAGCCCAGCACGGGGCTCGAACTCACAAAACTGTGAGATCGTGACCTGAGCTGAGATCAAGAGTCTGACGCTTCACCGACTGAGCCACCCAGGCGCCCCGGTATGTATTCTTAATTCTAGCACCGTTTGTTGTAAAATCCACCCTTGCTGCCTTCACCGCAGTCCCTCGTCGGTCACATAGCGTGTCTCTGGTCCTGGGTGAGTCTATTTCCGGGCCTTCTGTCCTTCTCCTTTGGTTACCTTATTCGCACTGGGGCTGATACTTTGCTGTCTGTTACCATAGCGTTAAAGTAAGCCTTGGCATCAGGTAGGGCGAGGCTTCCTACGCTTGTGTTTGGGTCTTGGCTGTTCTTTGCTTTCGCAATCCCATCTCAAGTATAGCATCATCTCGTCAGATCCCGTTACATTTGGTTGGGTTACAGTGACTCTCAGGGGGACTCGAAAGAGTTGCAATTGCAAATCTTCCAAACTGTGGACACCTAGCACGTTTCACCATTTATTTAGATCTTCGTTAGCATCTCTCAAGCGAAGTTTAACATTTTCTCCATACCAGGCCATAGTTTTACGGGCTTTATAACACAGCTTTATGTTAGCTATAGGCCTAAGTACTTCATGGATTTGATGCAATGATCAATGGCATCTTTTACACAAGGCAGTGCTGTTGGATGCTGTTATATTCAAATGCAGTTAATTTTTTTTTAACGTTTGCTTATTTATTGTGAGACAGAGAGAGCAGGGGAGGGGCAGAGAGTGAGACAGAGAATCCCAAGCAGGCTCTGCACTGTCAGCCCGGGGCCTGTCACGGGGCTTGAGCCCACGGACCATGAGAGCACGACCTGTGCCGAAATCAAGAGTAAGACACTCAACCAAGTGAGCCCCCCGGGCACCCCTCAAATGCAGTTAATGTTTAAATATTGATTTTCTTGGGGCGCCTGGGTGGCTCAGTCAGTTAAGCGTCCAGCTTTGGCTCAGGTCACGATCTCGCGGTTTGTGAGTTCGAGCCCCACATCGGGCTCTGCGCTCACAGTGCGGAGCCTGCTTGGGATTCTCTCGCTGCCTCTCTCTCTGCCCCTCCCGTGCACGCTCTCTCTCTCTCTCTCAAAACAAAACAAATGTATATGTATGTGTGTGTGTGTGTGTGTGTGTGTGTGTGTGTATATATATATATACAATTTTCTTTCCAGCAACTTTGTAATTCTAGTAATTTATAAATTCTTCTGGGGTTTTAATTTGCATACACAGGTCATCTGAGAATAATAACAGAGGCAGCATGGGTTAGTAGGAGAGAACATAGACTGTGGAGGGACCCTTGCTGGGTTTGGAGGTTGGTCCTGCTAGTCAACTGGTTGTGTCCTCACCCAAGTTACTTAACCTGTCTTGTGCCTTAGACCCGTCATTTGTAAAATAAGGCTAATGATGGTACCGACGACATCGGGCTGTGAGAATTGAGTAACTGTAAAGCACTTAGTAAGTGTTGTGCAAACATATGCTATTGTTGCTGTTACTTTTTCCCCTTTTCAACTTTATTCCTGTATTTCGTGCTCAAGTACAGTGTCACACAGAAGTCAAGTTGGCTAGCATCCCTGACTTCTTCCTGATGTAAAAGGAAAAAAGCATCCAGCGCTACACCATTAGGGATCATGCTTGCTCTGTGCTTAAGTCTGCCTTCCTCAGATTGAGGGATGTCCATTTTATTCCTAATATGCTAAGAGTTTTTATCATGGCAAGATGCTGAATTTTGTCACCTGCTTTTTCTGATTCTGTTGAAGTAACCTTGCTTTTTCTCCTATAGTATCTTTTTTTAAAAAATGCTTATTTAAGAGAGAGAGTGAGCATGTGAGCAGGGGAGGGGCCGAGAGAGAATCCCAAGCGGGCCTTGAACCCGCAAACGGTGTGCAAGATCATGTGTGACCTGAGCCCAAATCGAGAGTTGGATGCTTAACCGAAGCCGGGGCACCTCCTCTAGCATTTTAGTGTGATGAATTGTATTTATTTGGTTTATATAACAGTAAGCCAAATCTGTGTTTCTGGGATACTGTGTAAGTCATAAAGCCAATGAATATCACTACCTGAAAACAGCCAGCAGTGCACTTGAATAAAAAAGCAAGAGCAGAGACGGATGCCCAGGAGAGCAGCGGACACACTGTTCAGGCCTCCGCCTGCTCTCTTGTTGAACACACACATCCCCCAGCTCAAGAAATGCGGTTCTTTCCGGGGGGCCTGGGGGGCTCAGTCGGTGGAGCGACCGACTTCGGCTCAGGTCATGATCTCACGGTTCGTGCGATCGAGCCCCGCATCGGGCTCTGTGCTGATGGCTCGGAGCCCAGAGCCTGCTTCGGATTCTGTGTCTCCCTCTCTCTCTGCCCCTCCCCCACTCATGCTCTGTCTCTCTCAAAAGTAAATATTAAAAAATTAAAAAGAAATGCAGTTCTTTCCAATGCCTAAATCTAATGGAAGAAGAACCCTGTTGCTCCCAGGATTCTGGTTACTTACAGGGGGTTTCTCTTGTCTCAGTCGGAGAAGCTGCCCTCTTGCTTGGTTCATGCTGTGGTAGAACAGCTTAAGGGCTTTGGCGAATTCTCTGTCGGAGCTGGCTGGCCGAGTGTACATTTGGCTCATCTCTCTGGCTGCTGGAGGGTGGGCTGCCGTCCAAGTTAGCTTCAGAGTGTCGGAAGGCTTATGTGCTGAGGTGGTGAGGAGACAGAACATTTATTTCAACATCTGCTCTCCCAAGTCTCTATGTACATATTTATTTTGGTGGCAGGTCTACACCAGCCTTTATCAAGCACAGGTTGAGACACATCCAGGCAGAAGGGGAAAAAATTCTCAGATTTTTTTTTTTTTTTTTTTTTTATGAAACAAGATATAGATCAACTCATTAAAAAGTAAATTTCTTTGAAATACAGATACACATCTCAGAGCTCAGTTGGTTAAGCATCCAACCTTAGCTCAGGTTACGATCTCACAGTTCGTGAGTTCAAGCCCCTCTTTGGGCTCTGTGCTGACAGCTTGAAGCCTAGAGCCTGCTGAAGATTCTTTGTCTCCCTTTCTCTCTGACCCTCCCCTGATCTCTTTCTCTCTCTCTCAAAAATAAACATAAAAAATTAAAAAATATATATATATATCCATCTCAAACGTAGGAGTTTAGAGAGAAACTTAAGCAAGACTTACGTAGCCTCTCACCTTGTTGAGTAGAACCGACCTTCTCAAGTGATTGTTTGAGAAACACGTTTTCTTCTCTCAGGGCTCTGTTGGTGTCTCTGAGCAGCTCTGTCTCCTGCTCTAACTCGAGCAGCTTCATGTAGAGTTCAGATATCTGATTTGATGGCGTCTACAAAAAACATGTCAGGTTAGCCTTTCGCGGGGATCTGCATACCCTTTGGGACTGGCAGTTTTACTCCCCTAGATGGGGTGGGGGTGAGGGTGTGGTGAGCAGGGTTGAAGCCCCTGGGGGAACACAGCAGTAAATAAGGAAAACATTTGTTAAGTGGAAGGAACACCGATGATCCCTAAGCAGCTGTCACGTGCGATGCCCGTTTGAATGTCACATAAATGGGCACACCTGGCCTGGATCCATCAGCGTGGACATTTTCTTGGTGTCCACCATGATGTGGCCTTCACTTGTGACCATGAGGTCCGACTGAGAGCAGTCCAGCTGGGCGCAGCCTTCTGTAATGTGAGGGAGACACCATCAAGGAAAGAAACACCTCCAGGCCCAGTGTTGTGTGAAGAGAGTTTTTTTAAATGTATGTTTCTTTGTTTATTTACTCATTTAGAGACAGAATACCAGCAAGGGAGGGGCAGAGAGAGAGGGAGAGAGAGAATCCCCAGCAGGCTGCACACTATCAGCGCAGAGCCCCACGCAGGGCTCGAACTCACGAACCGTGAGATCGTGACCTGAGCCGAAATCAAGAGTCAGACACTTAACCAACTGAGCCACCCAGGTGCCCCTACATGAAGAGGTTTAAGCCATTCAATCCCCTGTGGACTAGAGCCCAGGGACCCAGGAGAAGACCGCCCTGGGCTATTAAGACCCTGACCCCCTCCCTCCTCCACATCCTTGGCAACCCTAGATATATTGACGTGATATCTGATTGAAGAATGCATCGTGCAAAAGAGGAAGCAAACGTGGTACCTTGAAGACCCCATAAATCGACAATGAGAGCGTTTGTTTGTAAATAATTCAGAAACTCCTGAGATGCATTTAAGGCTGTAAATTGGACAGTTTCTTCTATTTGGGGATTCACCATTTTCCATACAGGCTTGGTATAGAAAGTGCTTGAAAGGTCATAAATTCTGTACCTGAGAAAAGAACATAAGACAGAATTCCAAGCCAGAAGGGACACATTTACAGAGAAATGGATCAGATGAGCCAAAGAATGATGGCTTGGCTTGGTTACTTGATACGAGACGACCTGAAATTGATCCTCGTGCTTGCCACCCCCCAACATTTCCACTATTTAACACGAGTAGCATCACTACATGGACAGTATTAAATGTCTAGCAAAAAGGAAATGGATTTTGAGAAATACGTTCTACTTTGATCATCTAAAATTGTTAATTTTATTTATTTATTTTTTAATGTTTATTTTTGAGACAGAGAGAGAGAGACAGAGTGTGAGCAGAGGAGGGGCAGAGAAAGGGGGAGACCCAGAATCCGAAGCAGGCTCCAGGCTCTGAGCTGTCAGCACAGAGCCCGATGCGGGGCTCGAACCCACGAACTGTGAGATCGTGACCTGAGCCCAAGTCGGACACTTAACCGACTGAGCCACCCAGGCGCCCCTAAAATTGTTAATATTCCACGTGAGGTGGTGTTTTGGGTCTTGTCCTTCAAAGTTTCCCTTTCTTTATTGCTTAATCTCTTACCGTCTCTTAGCCTGACTAAGCCTATCTGGTGTTTCTTCCATATTGTGATAACAGTCCTTTCATTTCCAACTCAAAAAGACAAAAAACAAAAAACACAACAAAAACACCATGATTCCACGTAGAGAGTACAGCTTCCCTTGATATTCTATCAGATAATTAGACTGTCTGACCACTGCTTCAATCACCGAGGATCAATAAACGTGGCTTTCAGCCCAGCAACCTAGAAGGATGTGGGACTTCTATTAACCGATGGGGAAATAGGCATTTTGGGGTTGAAGAAGCAGAGAAACGTATGAAAATTTCGTGATGAACTCGTTTTTCTTTAAAAAAAAAAAAATTTTTTTTTCAACGTTTTTATTTATTTTTGGGACAGAGAGAGACAGAGCATGAACGGGGGAGGGGCAGAGAGAGAGGGAGACACAGAATCGGAAACAGGCTCCAGGCTCCGAGCCACCAGCCCAGAGCCCAACGCGGGGCTCGAACTCACGGACCTCGAGATCGTGACCTGGCTGAAGTCGGACGCTTAACCGACTGCGCCACCCAGGCGCCCCTGAACTCGTTTTTCAAGCGCCAAGAGAGACTCCCACCCGCCAAGGCCCACGAGGTGGGGGGTGTGTGCGCAGCCGGTACCCCATCTGAATGCCTCGCTCTGCGTCCTCCTTCAGCCACTTGACCCCAAGGCACCGCACGAGGCCAACCTGGAAGTCCATCCTCTTGCCCAGCAGCTCCGAAGGGTCGATAACCACGTCCTCCTCACCGCACGCTCTGCGAACAGAGGAGGACAGGGCAGGTCACAGATCGGCCGGGGCCTGAGCAGGTGAGGGTCGTGTCGTCAAAGGGCACTCCTGAGACTCCTCGAGATATGGCCAGCTTCTCTGAAGAAAAGACGAGGAGCGTTGCCAGCCGTGGAGCGTGTTCACGCAACAGGCATTCAAGGAGCTCCCAGCCTCCTGGAGGAAGAGACCGCAACGTAACCGCCTCGTGTAATACGCGACCCAGCCCTGGAGCCCCGGGCGGGTTCCCAGTGGGGTAGAGGATGCGGCCTCTCAAGGCGACCCTTTCCTTGGTGAGCTCTGCACAGTCCAGAGTCAACTCCAGCCTTACAGGTTCGCAAAACCAGTTTGGACAGCTTTCCAACAGGGGGCGTCTGTCACGTCAACCTCGCATCGAGCCTATAAGCTAGAATGTGCCTTAGGAATTTGCAACGAGAGAGAAACCGTCCGGCAGCCGAGAAGCCCGAGGTGGCCAAGTGACCAGAAAGTTGCTGAGACTCCCAGTAAAGACAGTGAGTCGATGGTCAGCTTGGTCTCTGGGTGCCAGGACCCCGCGGCCCTGAGCTGGTTCCCTCTTCAGAAAGACAGGGAGGCCGTCCCGGGTGCCTAAGAGCACCTCGCACCCAGACCAGACCGCCGCCTGCCCGCCTCTTTGCTTAGAATTGCTGAGAGACCTGGGCTTTTGTGAAAACGCTGTGGACTGTCCATGGCCTAGAGAGAGGGAAGAGAGGGGGTCCCTGAGAGGACGGTGAAGGGCAGGGCAGCAGAGTTATAGCAACACCCGTCCCCACAGAAGGTCGGCGAACAACTCAGAAGGAGGCCACGTCAGGGAACGAAGACACCTCAGTCCCTGCCTTGAGGGAAGGGACAGAAAACCCATGGGAGCCTGTACCACAGATGGAGAAGGGACGAGCTGGAAACTCTGCTTTCTTCCAGCCCTCGGGCCACATCAGCGAGGACCCGAGACATTCCGGGCCCGCCGATTTGGCCGCCGTGGCAAAAATCAGATTTGCTGGGGCCAAATCGTGACTGAATGAGCTCTTCGGGGACACCGTGCTGACCAGCTCATCCAGGAGAGCGCAGGCATGCTGGGAGTTTTCTGCCAGGATCAGGCCGGGCCGGGGGGACACCCACCGTCCCGCCGGGGAGCAGGGAGTCACGCAGACGTGCACCACGGCCTCTTCCTCCCCCTCGCAGTTCATGAACTCCACCTGCTCCTCCAGCTTCATGGAGTAGGCCAGCGACTGGAGCCAGATGTGGGCTGAGCCCAAGTGGACAACCTCGACAGGGTCCCAGAAGGGGTCATCTTCCTGAGCCACGTGGCTGTCTTCTCCATCCAGAAAGCGCTGGTAAAGTTCCTCCATGAGAAATTTCCTGTTGATAAACTTGGCTTTTGACCAGATCCACACCTACGAACACAAAGATAGGTCACCGGGATTGGATTTCACCTGCTCACAGTTCGTTCCCATGACTTTTCCCAGCATGCTTCCCCAGATGGGCCGGCTTTGGGGCACCCAGGACCCCCTAACACTCTCGTCAAGCCTAGCTTTGTGGTGAGGTCCTCCAGGAGTCCACGTTCGTTCCTGACCCATGGCTCCAGCATTTCTTGAGTTGCTGGGCCCTAATAACTTAGAGGAGATAACGAAGGGATCAAACAATACACTGTCCCAGGAGAGATGACGGTTTGGGACTCAGGGAACACAGAAGAGTGGCCCTCGAAGATGTCTGTGTCCCAGTCTCTGGAACCTGCCAACATGTTACCTTATGTGGAAAAGGGAATTATGGTTGTAGGTGGAATGAAGTTCGCTTATCAGCTGACCTTAAAATGGGGAGATTTGCTCACACTGTCTAGGTGGGTCCAGTGTAACCACATGGACCTTTTTTTTTAAATATTTTTTTATATTTAGTTTTGAGAGGTAGAGAGAGTCAGAGCACAAGTGGGGGAGGGGCAGAGAGAGAAGGAGAATCTGAGGTGGGCTCCAGGCTCTGAGCTGTCAGCACAGAGCCCGACGCAGGGCTCGGACTCACAAACCATGAGATCATGACCTGAGCTGAAGTCGGAGGCTCAACCGACTGAGCCACCCAGGCGCCCTCACATGGACCTTAACTGTGGAAGGGGGAGGCAGAAGAGATGGTCAGACGGTGACGGAAGGGGAGTCAGGGAGACGCCAAGTGGCTGACTTTGGAAATGGAGCACAATGGAGCCCAGGAAAGCGGGGGCCTCTGGAAGCTTCAAGAAGCAAAGAAACAGCTTCTCAGACCCCCAGGCCCCCAGAAAGCAAAGCTGTGCCAGCACCTCGCTTGTGGCACAGGGAGGCCCGGGCGGGGCCGTAAGGTGACAATGTGTGCGCTCACGCCCCCCCCCCCCCGAGAACCTGCCGCTGTCTGTCCCTGAGTGAGGGACAGGGCTGCTGAGAGGACATACGGTGAGGTGATGGGGGCACAAGGAGCCAACCGATGTGTCGCTGTCCCTCTGAGTGTTACGTGCCTTCAAAGAAAAAGATCCCCCTCCAGACACTACAAAGACTTCGTTCTTTCCTTCTTTGCCTCAAGTGAAACCCGTCCTCTCCCCCGAGAGGCGGGGTAAAGACTGCGTGTGAACCTGACCCTGGCAGAGCACAGCACGAGCTCCAGCAGGTGGGTTTTTCAAGCCCTGAGGCTAGGGCACCAAGACGGTGGGAATCGGCGTCCTCAGTCCTCTGCATCCTTCCTGGCGGACAGCGCGCCCTGGGCCCTGTGACAGCTCAGCGGGGCTCTGCGGGACCGGCAGGGGTCTCTGCTGACCCTCCCGTCCCCCACGGGACCTCAGCCGAGCACGGAGACTCCCAGGCCGGAAGCCTGTTGCACAGACTCCGCTGAGAAGTCAGGGCTGAGACCCTCCCTGTCCTCACAAGCCCCGGCTTGCTCCCGAATCGCCCCCGACGTGTCTCTCGTCGGTCACATGAAGTGGCCTGGGGGGGTCCCGTCTCCGCCCTGTGCGCGCACGGTCCAGCGGTCTAGGGCGAACATCTGCGAGGCGGACCGCCACAAAAGTGCCGAGGCTGCTGTTCGCCCTTCCCAGCCTCACACACCAAACCTTCCAGGAAGGGCCGAGGGACTGCCAGCATCTCCGAGGCCCCCGGGGAAGGCGTAACTTCATCCGGGGAGAGGCCACTGATCCACTCGGAAGGTGAAAACGGACAGCCTTGGAGATGACGGATCAGTAAGCTTAGTCTCTGCCCGAGGAGAGAGGAAAGCGAGCGACATCACCATAAAAGCAATTAGCGCGCAGCCTCTGAAAAGAGAACCCGGTTTCTGCTAATCATAGGAAAGGCTGAACGAGATCCTTTTCAATTCACCTTAAACTATAATGAGCAACGAAACACAGAGGAACATGAAATCTCCTTAAAACGAGGTCTGACAAGACAGTAGGAAATGGCCAAACCGAACCCTGGCGGAGCGCCTGGCCCCAGAGGCAAAGTACTGGGTCACCAGAGCTCCTTCGATCTGATGGCTCCTTCCAGAAAACGCAAAAGACAAAATCACGGTCGCACACGCATTGAGGATTCAGCTCCAAAGGCCTCGTGGGACACGCGCAGAAGTCAAGGTGGACTTCCCAGGGTAGGGGTCTCCCAGGAGACCCTCCTGAGTCACGAGATGTGTCCCCCCAAACCGTACGTTGGAGCCTGACCCTCAGTGCGCTGGGACGAGGAGGCGGGGCCGTGAGGGTGGACGCCTCACGAATGCACTCACTGCCCTCATGCAAGAGGCCTCAGTGCTCCCCGGCCCCTAGCGCCACGTGAGGACCCGGCGAGAAGGTGTCCTTCACCGGATACCAAATGTGCCTGTGCCACGACCTCTGCTCCCAGCCTCCAAGCTGTGGTGTTGCCGTAGCAACATGAAGGAACTGAGACTCCTCTGCCCTTTCACCCCACACGGGAGGCCACCTCGGTGCCGGTCAGAGGAAGAGACCAGGCAAAAAGGGGGGGCGCCTGGGTGGCTCAGTCAGTTGAGCATCCGACCCCGGCTCAGGGCATGATCTCACGGTTCGCGAGTTCGAGCCCCGCATCGGGCTCTGCACAGACAGTGCAGAGCCTGCTTGGGATCTTCTGCGGCCTCCTCTCTCTGCTCCTCCCCAGCTCGCACATGCTCAACCTGTCTCTCTCTCTCTCTCTCTCTTTCAAATAAACATTAAAAAAATATAAAGAAATAAATGGAGAGTGGTGGTTGGGAGCGATCCCAGGGTTGGTGCCATGTGGGAGAGAGGACCAGGAGAGAAACGTGGGGGGGCGGGGGGGTCCATCCCAGAGTCTGTCCCCAGAGCCCAGCTCACACTGGGAACACACAGTGCCCTTCACAGGGTCTCCACAGGACAGTCTCTGTCCCCGTGAGAGCCCTCAGAAACCCCGTCCCCAGAGACATCCTCACCTCGCGGGTCCTTTGGTTGGTTACCTTCACCATGACCTCCTTCTGTAGCTCGTGGCCCCTGGAGTCTGAAGCCGCTAAATTCTTCACCTTCAGTTCCATTCTGAGTCCCTGTAAGGGGGACCCTTCTCGCTGAGCCCACACCACCCTCGCCATTTCCTTCTCCTCCTCGCACGTTCCCAACACGCAGATGTGTCTTGAACGTGTCCTGGGGATCGGATCCTGTGTCACCGGGGGGCCACCCCCTGCTCAGGTCTTCTCTGTGGCTAGAAGGCTTCAGGGTCCTGGACCCAGGGAAGCCCTTTCTGGAGGGCAACCTGGGAGGGGTGGCCTGGCAAGCAAGCATTGGTCTAGGAGCCTGGAGGGCCTGGTGGGCCGTGGGAGCTGTGGGGGCCATGGTAGGCATGGCGCTGGCAGCTGGGACCGCTGAGGCCTGGGGGTTGGCCTGGGTTCTGTCATTGGCTCGCTGCGGGGTCCTGGGTGGAGCCCCTCACCTCTCCAGGCCCCGTGCCCTCGCCGGTACGGCAAAGCCGGCTGGGGCGGTGGGGGTGAGAGGCCGTGGACCCTGTTCCCTGAGGTCCTTCCAGACCCAGCGTTACTCCGTCTTCCAGCCCTTACCTTCTTCAGCTCTTCGCCCATTTGATTGGCTTCTGCCACCAGGGGCATCAGTCTGACGTAGTCCTGGAACACCACCAGCATGCCGGGGTCTGCTTTCCCATCGCCGTGGCTCGCAGCCCCTGGAAACCAGCAGGGTCCCGGTGAAGGTCGGTCTCTGGTTCTGGGAGACTTGTCAGCCACGAAGGGGTTTATTTATATGCTTATGTACTCAGTGATTTGATGGTTCACCAAATGTCTACATGGGGCTCCTGGGTGGCTCGGTTGGTTGAGCATCTGACTTCGGCTCAGGTCATGATCTCACGGTTCGTGGGTTCGAGCCCCCGTCGGGCTCTGTGCTGACAGCTCAGAGCCTGGAGCCTGCTTTGGATTCTGTGTCTCCCTCTCTCTCTGCCCCTCCCCAGCTCCTGTTCTGTCTCTTTCTCAAAAATCAACAAACGTTAAAAAAATTAAAGGTCCTAGCAGAATCCCATGTAGGGATTCTGGTTCCCTAGGAGGATGTACCCGTGTGCACTCATTCAGCTATTGATTGGAGCCTGGACTCTGAGCTGTGAGATGATTTGTAGAAGATTCACATTTTTTTTAAATTTTTTTTCAACGTTTTTTATTTATTTTGGGGACAGAGAGAGACAGAGCATGAACAGGGGAGGGGCAGAGAGAGAGGGAGACACAGAATCGGAAACAGGCTCCAGGCTCTTAGCCATCAGCCCAGAGCCTGACGCGGGGCTCGAACTCACGGACCACGAGATCGTGACCTGGCTGAAGTCGGACGCTTAACCGACTGCGCCACCCAGGCGCCCCGAAGATTCGCAATTTAAAATGACTTTTGTCCAGCAGAAGATTATTGCCCCCAAAACCATCAACCAGCTTTGTCTAACTCAGTCTTATTTCACTGTTCTTCCCTCTTGTGCTTTACTGTTGAACCTTGGGAAATGCAGGGGTTAGGGCCCTGACGCCCCATACGGTCAAAAATCCATTCAACTTTTGAGTCCCCCAAAACATAACTACTGATAGCCTTCTGTTGGTCCAAAGACTTACCAATAAGCAGATGATTAACATATATTTTGTATGTCCTATGTATTATATACTTACAATAAAGTAAGCTGGAGAAAAGAAAATGTTAAAGTCATAAGAAAGAAAAAAACACATTTATAGGACTGTGCTGTGTTTATAAAAAAACAAAAAGACCACCACCATGTATAAGTGGACCCACACAGTTCAAACCCATGTTGTCCAAGGGTCAACTGTATCTATCGCCTTCTTCTCCGTTTATTTTATTTTATTTTTTTTAATGTTTATTTTTGAGACAGAGAGAGACAGAGCATGAACGGGGGAGGGTCAGAGAGAGGGAGACACAGAATCTGAAACAGGCTTCAGGCTCTGAGCTGTCAGCACAGAGCCTGACGCGGGGCTCGAACTCACGGACCGCGAGATCGTGACCTGAGCCGAAATCGGCCGCTTAACCGACTGAGCCACCCAGGCGCCCCTTCTTCTCCGTTTATTAACAAAATAGTTTAATAAATCTTTGACATGTGCTCACTCTACAATATGGAAATCCTAATTTAACTTTCTAAACATTTCCCTTTGAAACCAGATGTTATTTTCTTAGGGAAAGTAGGAGAGCACACAGTGAAAGCAGTTGCTTTTAGATCAGTGGAAAATGCTGGAAGGCAGGGCCCTGAGCTGCTCACCCAGCTTGTCCACACTCACTCCCTCCGCAGCTGCTCTCTCCAGCTGGAAGAAGTCATAGTCGAACCTGGTCAGGTCTTCACTGCCTCGCTCTGATGGAAACCCAATGTAGAGGTAGGCGCTGTTGGATCCCAGGATAATGCGGTCCTAGGGAGGAGACGGGAGGTTCAGCGGGAGCACGCTGCCCTCAGCAGAGGTGTGGCACCAGCCTGCTCCAGGGGGGACCAAGTCCCCATGGGCAGTCCAGCTGTGGTAAATCACAAACCCTGCACGAGGTCCCCAGAGAGGGAAGAGACCCCTGAATGCAGAGGAAGAGATGGACGTTTTGCTTTTGTGTGCATGCTTTCATTTATTTCTTCCTTTATCCCACACGGAGCTCCGACTCTCCATCAGACATTGTGGACCCCGGTGGGCACCAAACAGACCCGGGCCCTCCCCTCTAGGACTTTATAGACAGACGGTACTATAGCTTGAGAGAGATGCTTGAATGAAATGGGGGTGCTTCTGCAGAAGGTACAATACGGGCGCCTCACTTGCACTGGGGATCAGAGCGGTCCTCTCTCAAGGTGCGCTGTTTACGACTTCAAAGGTGGTCAGTTTCGGCAAGGCAGAGAAGGCTGCGGCCAAACAGAGCCAGGGGTGTTTTGAACAATCAGGAGAAGGTCCGTGTGACCTTCGTGCAGAGCAGTGAGGCGGGAGGTGGCGGTGAGATGAGGCAGCTCACACAGGGGCCCTGAAAGGGTGGCCACTGAGGATTTCCAGGAGGGCGTGGCCTAATCCAAATAGCTTGTCTAGAAGGCTCTCTGTGGTTACAGTGTGGAGAATGGGTTGAAGAGGGGCTTGGGCAGCAGGGAGGCTGGCGGGAGCCCCTGTGGTCATGGGGAGCCAGGCTGGGGTGTGCGGAGGAGACAGGGAGACTAGTGTTTGCGAGGTGCCGCGTGGTCCCTCCCAATGGCAGATCTTTAAGAAGTCTAAGATATCATGAAATGTCAGAGCTGGAAAGGGTCTTGGTGGACTTCTAGTTCACTCATCTCTGTTTTATTAAGTCCCGATGGGGGACCTGGGGGGCTCAGTCGGTTAAGGGTCCTACTCTTGATCTCGGCTCAGGTCGTGGTCTCTCGGTTTGTGGGTTTGAGCCCCACGTCGGGCTCTGTGCTGACAGCCCAGAGGCTACTTGGGATTCTCCCTCTGCTTTTCTCTCTCTGCCTCTCGCCTGCTTGCTTGCCCTCTTTCTCACTCTCTCAAGATAAATAAATAAACTTAAAAGCAATGTATAGATGAATTCCCGAGGAGTGAAGTGGCTTTTGCCCAGGAACACAGAGCGGGTTAATATCAGATCTCCCGACCCCAAGCTGTGACCCATGTCGGCCGTAGCAGGGGGACATGGGGTGGCTGGCGCCCCCACCCTGCCCGGTGCTTGCCATGGCGTGGAGGCCTGGGGCACCTCACGGGAACCTCTTCTCCTGGCTCTCCGGTGGGACTGTGGAAATTCTGCGGCCAGGCAGGAAAGCTTACCAAATGCTGCAGCTTTGTCTTGGTCACGATGGGCACCCCGTTAACGACAACTTTGCATTTGCTGTGTGGCATGACCGTCACCTTCCCATCCGAATTTGTGAAGGACGCGTGTTTATCTGAAATTCTAAAAAGACAAGAGGTCGTCTAGGTAGCCAAAATAATCGTGACTGTAGGGCACACGGTTTTGGTGGTTGCTCCCCACTCGCACGCGTAAGTAAGACCTACGGGTGCTGCAGGGTGGCCGGAAGCGGCTCAAGGGGGTCGGGGTAGATAGGAGCCGGAGAAGGACCACAAAGCGATTCTCATAGCCACAGTACCAGCACCCGCTGAGGCCCAACAGCTACAAGGAGCCCGCATAGGCAGGGTCATCGCTGGGGTCCTCCAAGACTCATGGGCCACAAGACTGAGTGGTGGGGAAATGGAAAGAAAGATGTTTCAGAGGGTTGCTGGGACAGGTGACCAGTGCTGACAGATAATGATGTACATGCCACAGAGAAGGTCAGAGCGGTTTCTGGGTCTCCATGATACAACGGCAGACATTATATGCTAAAGACTGGGGGACAGATGTCAGAAGTGTCAGATTGGCGGCCCCCTAGACATCATCCGGCTGCCCTGAGTGACCAGCTTCCTAACTGTTCTAGAATGTTCCTAGACTCCTTGGCTGCTGTGGAAGGCTCTGCGTGTTGAGACACTTGTCCGTCCATATCCCTTGTGTGCGTGGGGCCCAGGGATGCCATGGGAAAGGCTATACCCTCAGCTCATCTGGAGTTCGGCCGTCTACAGGTCCCCACTGGAAGTGTCTGGAAAGGGAGACGAGGGGAATTCCCAGGAAGAGTCAGGAGAAGGGGCCCAGAGGCTGGTGGTGCAGGGGGAAGCCATGTCAGCTGGCCCCCCCCCCCCCAGTCAGGGCAGGCCCCCTCCCCTCCTGTCCCTGTGCTTTGGTGCCGAAGGGCTGAGGTACGTCAGGGGGACTGGTCGGCAAGCTGATTGAGCCTACGGGCTGGAAATCTGTGGGCGATCAGGACACCCTGGAACTGGGGAGAAGAGCAGAGAGGCCACGGAGGTAGGAGACGGCTGTGAGTTCGTGAGAACCGCCATAGGGTTCCACAGGGCCTCCTCTTGCAGAAGGGGTCACCCAAAGCCTGGGCTTTCCCTTCGTCCAGTTGGTGAGGGCTCTGAGGGCAGAGATCTGAGGATGCTATTGCTTTCGGTGGTTAAGACCACGAAGGACGTGGGCCCCTTGTGGTGGGCTCTCTCTTCACTGTCTTCATTTGCTGGCCTCGTCCACTTGTGTCTCCTTGTGCTGAGTCACTATACGGGGGTCTAGCAACGGGTCTTCCCTTCCTCCCGACGTCAGAGCCCAGGAAGCAAAGTGAGTGCGGTGGGAAGGATTTCAGTGGGAGCAGGAAAGCCCTTCCTTCCAGAAGCCCCGAGCGGGTCCCTGAGGACGGCCTGGGAATTTGTCCTGCAGGGTTTGTGGCCCCACCCGGCGAGGCCCAGACAAATGTTGAGAACCTCCCGCGGAATGAGTGGTCACAATTCTTGGACGAAGACGGTTCACGTCAACTTACCCCAAACCTTGAAGGTGGATGGCGTTTGAAGCGGCCCGACCGGCATCACATGAGCCTTGAAAAGAATTAGGATAATTTCTTTTCAAACTTTGTCAGGATTTGACCTTAACAAGCGAACGTGTCTGATGCTTGGGTAGGGCCGTTGCCTCTCCAAGAGGATCGTGTGAAGGGATTTTGCTGCTAGGATTTTCAGTCGTAAGTACCTGGACACCACCCGGCCTTACGGATGATTGTTTTACTTTCTGCCCTTTTTTTGTGGGCTGCCTAACTTTTTACAAGTTCCACCTTACTCGTGGGGATTCTGGAGGAAGAAACTGTCGAGTCTGGGGCTTAGGAGATATGCTGCAGCCCGGCCACAGGGAAGGTCCTGGTCTGTGCAGTGACGGACCCAGACAGCACCGAGAGCACCACGCCGGCTCCCCCCGGGGGCCACCCCACACCCGGGCCCTACCTCCATCCAGTGCAAGCCCTCTCCTGTCCAGGTGTGCCCAGGGCCGGGGTGCGGAAAGCCTCGTGTTACTACAATACAGATGCTGTTTTCCAACAACTGAATAGATAAACAAAATGTGGTATACGTATATAATGGAATATTATTCAGCTTTAAAGAGGAAGGAAATTCTGGGGCGCCTGGGTGGCTCCGTCGCTTAAGCGTCTAGCTCTTGGTTTCGGCTCAGGTCATGATGTCACAGTTGATGAGCTCAAGCCTCACGTCAGGCTCTGTGCTTAGAGGGCGGAACCTGCTTGGGATTTTCTCTCTCTCCCTCTCTCTGCTCCACTTATGCTCGCTCTCTCTCTGTCTCTCAAATAAAATAAACTTGAAATAAGAAGGATATTCTGACACCTGCTGACAACATAGATGGGCCTTGAGGATACTATGCTGAGTGAGATATGCTAGTCACAGAAGGACAAATACCGTGTGACTCCAATGATGCGGGGTGCCTAGAGTAGTTACATTTGTAGAGACAGGAGGTAGGACAGAAGTGGAACGGAGGGTGCCTGGGGCTGGGGGAGCCAGTGTTGAATGGGGACGGATGTCGGTTTGGGAAGAAGGAAAGGTTCCGGGATTGGGTGGGGGTGATGGTGGCACCACGGTGTGAATGTGCTGATGGACCTGAACCGTCTACTTAAAAATAGCTAGCATGGTGGGGCATCTGGGTGGCTCAGCCGGCTGAGCATCTGTCTTCGGCTCAGGTCACGATCTCACGGTCCGTGAGTTCGAGCCCCATGTCGGGCTCTGGGCTGACAGCTCAGAGCCTGGAGCCTGCTTCGGGTTCTGTGTCTCCCTCGATTTCTTCCCCTCCCCTGCTCATGCTTTGTCTGTCTCTCTCTCAGGGACGAATAAACATTTAAAAAAAATTTTTTTTTAAAAAAGCTAGGATGGTGAATTTTATGTTCCACCTATTTACCGCAAAAAGAAAGATTCAAAAGAGAAAGAAACACAAAGCAAGAAGCCTGAGCAGGTCCAGCGTGGGTCGGCAGGGGTGAGTACCAGCCTGAATGAAATACTTGAGGACCCCTGTGAGCTGCGGGTCCTCGTTGACGTTGAGAAGGTGAGGGAGGGTCTTCATTATCCGCTGCTCCTGGGGGAGAGACGGGAGTCCTGTCACCACACAGGGCCAGCACGTTCAAGGCAGTAGCATTCCTTTCCTATCCATGTCCTACCGAAGCCACTTGTCTGTGCGTCCTGTCAGATCGTTCAGGAAAGCCCAGTGGGACTGGGACGGGAGGCCCTGCTCACGGCGCGGGTGAGACCCCACCCGCAGCAGGTCAGCCGAGGGGCCTGAGCTCATCTGGACGGGACTGTTGCAAAGCACGGCCAGTTTCCGTCTCTGTCCCCCCTTCTACCCTGACTTCTACCCCACTCTTTTCTCCAGGTCCCCCCGCATCCCAGCTGTCCTGGTGCCCCATCGGGTGCCTCACCTGGGTCCCCCTTCCCACTAAACCCGCTACCCTACATCACAGGCTCCCCCAGACTAGCTCACTAGCTCAGGTCCTGCAGGCTAGCTCACTGGTGATCCGATGTTGGTGATCAAATGTGGGACGTGCCGTATACCCTCTCTGGGTTACCCGAGCGTGTCTCATCCCTCAACCTGGTATTAGTGGTCTTGAACTTATAGAGGATTGACTGCCGATCAGAACTGGAGTAAATTGTTCAAGCACAAGAAAGCTTTTCAGTTTTGAAATTCTGATAACGAGTAAGGGGGATAAGAGTCTTTTCCGTTGCTCGTGTCCTTACTTCTAGAGTCCTTGGACCCTAACTCGTCCTGGCCTCCTGGTGTCACAGGCCCCCGGCCCCACTGCGCTCCCGCCGCCTGAGGCTCACTTCCATTTCAGGCTTCCCGAGCCCTTCGGGAGCCAGCCTGGGCCTCTGCCTCCACTCCGGAAGTGCTCCAAGGCTGGCCCACGACTTGGGGTCTGTGCAGAGCTGTGGCTTTGGGGAGTCAGGTCATGGCGGGAGGGCGCTGTGGATGGGGGGCCCAGAGGGCATCTCCCCGACCCGAGTACAAAACTCGCATCACAGCCCACGTATGCTCCGGCAGATGCTACGGTTCAGGGTCACGCCGTGCGGTCCCCGGAAGACGGTGCACAGTCCTCGAATTCTCCCCAAACTGTAATTATCAGCAGCCTTGACTCATCAAGGCCTCTCGGCTTCCTTCCCCCTCCCACCCCACCCTCCTCTCCCCTAGCGCCGCCAGCGGCATCGGCAGAAGTCATTTGTCACTTAATCACATGCCGCGTCTCACGTGTTACACATTCTCCGGGGGGGGGGGGGGAGCCACCCCGATGATCCACTGGACGGCAGCCCAGGCGGCCGTGCACACGTGGGAAGAGTGTGAGGCTCCCTGCCAGGTGTGGGCCTCGGCAGGTGGACGGAAGGAAGCTCACCTTGGCCACGGCCACGTGGTGCTGTTGCCACTCTTCCCGAGCCTGCTCCAGCTGGCACGCCCAGGGCCCGGCTTCTGCCAGTGGGCGGGCCGGCTGCTCTGGAAGGAAGGAAGGGGCTTAAGCAGCGGGTCTGCTGTGTCGAGGGTGAGGAGCAGAATAACTATAATAGAAGACTACAGAATAACTATAGTCTTCTACAGAATAACCATAGAATTCTAAAGAAGACTATAGAATAACTATGATAGAAGAGTCAGGTTGACTCTGTTCTCAGCCGAAGCCGGGGATGCTGGGCAGGGCGGGAAACTGAGCTGCGCTCACAGGTGAAGAAGTCACCCAGTTGTTTCTACAGAGGGTAGAAACGCTGTCATTTTAATGCATCGGAACGTAGAGCAAGAAGGCCTTTTAGGGGAGGAGGCACGACGCTCCATACTTTCTGTTTGGTTGTGCGGGCACGTGAGAGTGTTCTGTTTTATACTCCGGTTACCAGCCATTCCTACAAGGCCAGGGGACTCACAGCATCACAGGCTCGTGAACATATTTTGTGTCTGCGCTTATTACGCACGGCGGGCATTCAGTGCTCACATCCGTCCAGCTCGCGACGACACGAACTTTGGGGCTAAGCGAGGCCACCATACCTGGATGGGCCGCAGGCGCTGCCTCTAACATGGGAAGGGCTTTGTTGTGAAGTCCCAGCGAGTTGGGATGCGGGAGCCTGCAGGGGTGCCCACAGAGCCTCTGTCCCCCCCCCCCGGGCAGCCTGGTTTGGGGCGGAACGTGCTGCCAGTACCCGAGAGCCCCTCTGGAACGAGGGAGCCCAGCTGGCGGGGGGCACAGGGGCCGGGCCGCTTGGTGACTGGAGCTCACGCTCCCTGAACCAGCCCTGAGCGCCAGAGGTTTGGACCTCCTGGCATTGTTCTTTTCACTTTAAACCACTTCCTCCAATTTTACTTTGACAGTTTTACAATTTGCCCTTTTCTTGTTCATCCCGTTTTAAGTTATTAACGGGCACAAAGTTGTAGGCACCTCCCTTCATGCTGCCAAACTGAAATCCTAGGCCTTCCTTCAAAGCAGTGGTTCTGGGGCACCGTGGAGTCAGAAGTCACAGTCAGTGGGCCTGGTGACGCTCACCAGGTGACTCTGATGTGCTGCCTCTGAGGCCTCTGGAGATTCAAACATCATGCAACTGTGTGAGGCCATCAGCCCAGCGAACGTCAAAATGGCCACGGTGCAAACCTGGGAAGGACGGAGTGGCCTCGGCAGAAACAACGGCTTCAAAGTAAAAATGGCGATAAAAATGAGACTAAAATGATCATGCAAAAAGGGCAGGGCCACTTAACTGCAAGTGAATCTGCATTTGTCTCAAAATGAAGTATTTTTTTCCCGAGGCTGGGGCCTAAATGTCCCCAGAGGGTGCCCCTGGCCTGTGCCAGGCTCCGGCGATTCCAAGCAGGGGTTCCCCACCTCCCCGCCGAGCCCCAGGCTGAGTCTGCAGCCGGTCCCTCCCTCCATCCCACTCCCAGCCTTCCTGCTGCTGGCCTGGACCGGCATTGCTCCTGACTCAGTTTACCTGCCATTCCGGAATTCCCGCGTGCGAGCAGCGCTCTGTCGTTCTCTGCCTTTGACTCTCTCATCAGCGTCGAGGTGTTGACCACGGCTCTGTTCCGGATCTTTTTAGCCCTTCCATGTGCAAAGATGAACACGCACTCAGTCCCGGACCCCTTTGGGGAGCACAGGCCAGAAACCGGCCAAGTGGGACCTTTCGGCCCAGGCGACTCCAGATGCCAGCAGGCTGGGCGCCAGTGAACGGTGAAGGCCGAAAGGGACTTTAGTGACGTCCACGGTTGAAATAAACATGACCAGCCCCGCCGGACCCACAGCCTGGCCCCGACGCGACCTGGGCCCTGAACCCACTCGCCCATCGGCCGACTCCGCTAGTGGAAACATCTATGCGTCATTGCTGACTTGGCGTAACCCCACCCTGGAGGCTGTCAGCGGGTGTTCCGGGCTGGAAAGGGAACCTAGGGGTCACCTGTTTCCCTGCCTTCTAGTGTCCCAGAGAAAACGCGAGATGCCCCCGAGCACTGCATGGGGCATACTTCTGTGGACACATTATTTACTTGCTCTTCGCCTGCTATTCAGGTTTAACCGGGAGCCTGTGTTTTGTATTTGCTAACTGCGGCCGCCGCCTTACTCCTTTCGTTGAGGAAATGGGGTTTTCAGGGCTTGCCCCGGGGTCACACAGCCCGTGGCAGCTCCAGGCTCAGAGCCTGGGACTCTGGGCTACTGTTTTCTCCTTCCTCTGCGGCCGTAGTCTCTCAATGGGAAATCTGCTCGTGACAGATTTGCGTCTGATAAGCAGAGAGACCGAACTGATGGAAAGATCCGAGCTCGAGCTCGTGCTGCAGACGCTGAAAGAAACATCTAACGGTGTAAAACGATACGGAGGCTGCACCGTTGCAGAGGCCGCTGGCACGTGTCCCTAAAATGCCAGGGCTCCCTGCCAGGGACAGGGCCAGAGGGAAGACCACTGCTCGGTGGTGCAGTGACAGCCATCATCTCTGAGCATTCAGCACGTGTCAGAACCTTGCCGGGAACGGGCTCGTGCAGGATCTGTTGTGTTCTTCCCCCCACCGACTCTGATGAGAAACCACCTCCCTCGACATGGGACAGAGCCGAGGGCTAGGGAGGTACGGCGTGTCGCTCAAGGTCACGCAAGCCCGTAGACCTGACCAGGGACGTGTCACGGTAGGTGGCAGTTTCATTTCACACACCAGCTCCAGCCTCTTGGGACCAGGCCTGAGGATTCCAGGTTCCCGTCCGAACCCGGCGGGTGGGCCTCAGGGTGGATTCCGGACTCTGCCACGCGAAAGGGAAAGGGTGGTGGCAGCATGTGGCTTTTACCCTGCTTAGAGGTCCCCTCCGCCTGCACCCTTATCTTTTTTAAAAGGGTCAGGAGAGAGGCACCCGGGTGGCTCAGTCAGTTAAGAATCCGACTTTGGCTCGGGTCACGGTCTCGCGGTTTGTGAGTTCGAGCCCCACGTCGGGCTCTGTGCCGACAGCTCGGAGCCCGGAGCCTGCTTCGGATTCTGTGTCTCCCTCTCTCTCTCTCTCTGCCTCTCCCCCGCTCGTGCTCTGTCTCTTTCTCAAAAATAATAAATAAACAGTTAAAAAATTTTTTAAAAAGGGTCAGGAGAAGCAGGATCCAGATGCCTAGAATGTGTCCGTGCGGCAGCCTCGTGCCGGGGCTTAGTATGCAGGCTCGCCTCCCTGGCCCCCTGGACGGAAGGAAGCTGGCAGGGAGAGCCCTCCCCGCCCCCGGAAAGAGGAGCCTAGACCGTCAGGCCACCCCAAGAGTAGAACCCGTGTGCACGGGGCCTGGGCAAAGGAGACCAAAGCCAAGAAAAGCATGGAGCTGGAGGCTGGGCGACAGCCCAGGGAAGTGCCTCACACGTGCTTGTCTTCACCTATTGGCATAAACGTCCCCTGCCTGCCCCCGCACACCACCCGTGTGCCATGTGACAAGGGAGAAACACGTGAATGGGCAGCTATGTGGCAGGAAAATACAGGAAGAAGGATTCCAAGCATGGGATCGGCCCCCAGGCTTCCCCCATCGATGGGAACCCGCGGGGCCTCTCCCATGCAGAATAGGGGTGACGTTAGGGTCTGAGTCCCCAGTTCTGTCTCCTTTTGTTTATTTCCTCCCACCTCTCTCTCTCTCACAAATCATTCCGTTCTGCCTTCTCCTGACCTCTCCCCCCAACTGCCAACCCATTGCGTAGAGGGGGACCAGAAGAATCTGACTTGGAACCCCTAGGGATACTACGTATCCACAAACGTACCTTTCGGCGTATCTTAACGTGGATAAAGTTTCCTCATAGCAGATGTCAGCGGGACTTATGGCCGCTATCTGTAAAAAGAACGTCCCTTTCAGATTTTGTAATTTTAGACGGATTTGTCGTTGCCGATACGCTAAGGTTCATAGCATTTCTTGTCATTTACGGTATCGTTCGAACTTTGCAACTCAGAAGGTGCGGACACACATTGATAGCACGTGCTCACCCCACATATGCCACATACACACGTGACCTCTGCAGCGCACCGACACCGCAGATTCAGGACACAAACACCACAATTTCACAACACACACACACACACACACACACACACACACAGAGGCCCGGAGAAAAACCATGTGTTCGAGATCTGTCTGATAATCACTGGCAGAGCTGGGCCTGGAGCCGGGCCTGACTCACTCTCAGGCCCTTGTCCTCAGTAGTAAGTCCCCAGAGGGTGGATGGGGATTCAAGTGACCGTTGAATGTTGGCCTTGCAGATTCTCTTTTCTTTCTGCTTCCTGAGAGGGCCAGTGACCCCACCCCCTGCCCCCTAACCTCCTCTCCACCACACATTTTTCTGTTAAAGTGTGGTAGTGCCCCAGGCGGGGCGTTAGATTAAATAGGAAAGAGTAAAGATTGTGTTTTGTTGTGAATTTGGGAAAGAGTGCACAGAGCAGGCCCAGCGGTGAGCAGTTTTCTCCTAACCGGGACAGCAGGCCGGAGGCCAGTATGAACCTGCCGGCAGAATGTGCCAGTCTGTTCCTTTTCGCACCTGGAGCTGAAGAGCAGAGAGTCCCGATTTTAACACATCCCACATTGTACCCCCTTGGCAAATATGCGATACTAAGAGTCTGGAGTCTTTGCTGAGATGACACGATTTAGCTACTCGCCGGGTTCAACAGCTGCCTGGTGTCTCACATGGTCAAAATGAATTCCGGTCTTGCCACGAAATGACCACCGATTTAGAATAGTACGACGTTATCAGTGTTATTTTAAAATGTGTACTAATTTTTTCCTGGCAATAATAGTGGTGTATGTTCCTTATAAAGAATCTGAAAGCTACGGAAATGAATAAAAAATTAAAATTAGCAGTATTTGAACACTGTAGCGGAAAGAGTCTCAGGAGTCTCGACGTACGTAAGAATGTGTGACGTGAATGCAAAATGCGGCATCATGGTACAGTGAGCGTGATTTTAATAATAACAGTGACAACAACACAATAGCTAAATCAGTCTGCTGTGTTGTAAGAAAGTCACTTTACCAAAGTGGTTCTGCTGTTCCCGCCCAGAGCTGGCTGGAGAAGTTTGGTCAGGACAGAATCTCTGTAGGGAATGTGCAAGACTTTCTTCCCCGTGGCTGCATCAGCCAGAGCACTGGATGAAAAAGAAACATCAGATTTAAAAATATATATATGCCAAGAACAAATCTGCCTCCCGGGGGATAAGTCAGAAATACCCTTCATGTCTCCTCTTTGACCCCATAAACCTGAGACATGACTCTAATGATATCCAAGAGTTGAGACATCTGCCGGACGAAGATGCGGAAGCAAGACAGCTAACCACATGAGCCACTGGCTGCCTCTCTGAGATCAACCCTGGAGACACCATGACAGACAGAGGGAAGTCCGGATCTGAGGCTCTAACACCCTAAACCCTGTGAGGAAAACCCAAAGAGCCTGCAGGCTATTGTAAATCTGTGTATAGAAAAGAGTTTCAACCCGAGGAAGAGGGTGGCCCCACTAGCAGTGTGCCGGCCAGTGTGGGGAGGGGGTTAATTCCTCTTCTTGTTTTTCTTCCGTACTTCCTTCAGAGAAACCCATAAAGGTAGGACCCCATATAACAACGCAGCACAGAAGCTGTACGTGAGAAGTAAATGTGCCACCCCTCCCCACCAACTCCAGGGTCTGCAAAGATCGCAGTATTGTCATTGATGAGAGCAGGGAGGAGGAGGGAGGCAAGCCTGTCTATGAGAAATTATGATCACAAAAAGTGAAAAGGAATTTATAAAGGTATTCTAGCTGATTTGGAAAAGAAACTAAAGGAGCTTCTAGAAAGAAATACAGTAATTGAAATTAAAAACACACAAGACAGGGGCGCCTGGGTGGCTCAGTTGGTTAAGTGTACAACTCTTGATTTCAGCTGAGGTCATGATTTTGCTGTTCGTGGAATCGAGCCCTGCATTGGGCTCTGTGCTGACAGCATGTAACCTGCTTGGAATTCTCTCTTTCTTCCTCCCTCCTTCCCTCCCTCCCCTTTTCTCCCTTGCACCCCGCCCCCCATCTGCTCGCTTGCTCTCTACTCAAAATAAACTTAAAAAAAATTTTTAAAACACACTGCACAGGTTTAACAGCAAACTAGACACTGCTATTATTGGAATTAGTGAAATAGATACGTCAAAAGAGATTAACCAGATTGCAGCCTGGAGACATGGAGATGGGAAACAAGCCAGGAAGGTTATGAGACATGGAGGACAGAGTGAGATTTAAATAATCTAAATTGAAGTTCCAGAAAAGAAAGAAAACAAGTGGGCACAGATGGTACATGAGAAGTAATGGCTGAGAATTTTCCAGTACTGGTGAAAATCACTAATCTACAGAACTATAGGGACCAGGGAATTCCAAGCAGAGTAAATAAAAATAAATTCACACTCAAATGTAACATAACCGAATTGGAGAACATCAAAACAGAAGAGCTCAAAAGCAGCCAGGGGGCAAAGACTGGTTGACTTCAAGGAAATAGCAATTAGACTACCAGCAGAAAACAGGAGACTGTATCCTTCATGAGCTGAAAGAAAATACTACACTTCTGGAATTCTATCCCCAGCACAATTATCTTCCAAGGATGAGGTGAAATAAAGACATTTCAACCAAACAAAAACAGAATTTTCCATCAGCACATGATCACTGAAGGAAATTCTACAGAATATACTTCCACCAGGAGGAAACTGATCTTAGATACAACTCTGAGTAAATAATTGGGGCGCCTGGGTGGCTCAGTTGGTTAAGCGTCCAACTCTTGATTTTGGCTCAGGTTACAATCTCACAGTTGGTGAGATTGAGCCCTGATTCAGGCTCTGCACTGATGGCATGGAGCCTGCTTAGGGTTCTCTCTCTTTCCCTCTATCTCTGCTCCTCCCTCTCTCAAAATAAACATTTGAAAAAAAGAAGTGAAGGGGAGGGGTCAAGATGGCAGAGCAGCATGGAAGCTTTTTGCTTCTCTCATCCCTGAAATGCAGCTAGATCAACACCAAACTATCTGGCCAACCTAAAAAATTGATATGAAGGTTAACACAACAGTCTGCACAGCTTGAACCACGGAACTCAGCAGATAAGCAGTGTGGAGAGGTGAACTGGGGGGAGAGAGAAGCCACAGAGGGTAGAGAGGTATTTTTACTTGCGGAAAGAGGATGGAGATGGGGGGAGAGTACAGGAAAAGCACTCCCCCCGAAAGCAGCTGGAGAGAAAGAGAAAGAGTGGAAACACCCATAAGGGACTTAACAAGAAGGGGAGAAAGGAGAAAAAAGAGGGTTTAAATACCATTGAGAGTCTATAAACAGGGGTCACAGTCTGAAACTCCACAGCTCTATACCTGGCAGAGCTCTGGTGGGAAGAGTGAATCCCCAGGAGCAGACAGTGAGGTCTGAGGGGTCCTCGGGCCACACAGGAAGAGGCAGTTCCTCTGCTGAGAGGACATTTGGCAGAGACTATGTGGCCTTCCCACAGGCAAAGGTCTCAGTGGACCCCAGAGAACAGCCATATTTGCTGGTGTTGGAACAAGGATGTTAAGGGGTGGTGAAGCCTGGCACCAGATGTGTGTTATGATCTACCATAATTCTTGAAACACTGCTGCTACATGATTGAATGAACTTTTTCTGGGGTGGGCTGGCACCTAGCCACAGTCTCTGGCATCTGCAGCAGTGCAGTCATGTGAATGTTCCTGGCTATGGGCTGGCACCCAGCCGTTGCTTGGCAAGACCTTCCCCCAGACAGTCTAAGTGGGTCAAAGCTGCAGGTCCCTCAGAGGTGAAGGGTTTGGAAACACAACCCCATCTGAGATAAAACTCGGGAGGGAGGTTCCACCTGGCAGCCTGATGGCTTGGTCATGGAAAGTGTAAAGGCAGGGAGTGGACTGGAGCTGGAGACAAGGGAGGGGTGATTGATTGCCAGTTGGCAAGAGCACAGAGTTCTGATACTAGAGACTGGGTAGCTGGGTGATGCCATTTTCACCTCTCCCACACATGCACATACACATGTACACTCACCACAATGATCCACCCCAGTAAACTAAGTGCCCATCTAGTGGAGAATGGAGCAAGATGTCTGAACCAGAATTTAGAATCACAATAAGAAGAATACTAGCTGGGGTTGAAAAAAAGCATAAAATCCCTTTCTGCAGAGATAAAAGAAGTAAAATCTAGTCAGGACGAAATTAAAAATGCTATAACTGAGATGCAATCTTGAATGGATGCCACGGCAGCAAGGATGATGAAGCAGAGCAGGGAATCAGCGATATAGAAGACAAACTTATGGAGAATAATGAAGCATAAAAAAAGAGAGAAACTAAGGCAAAAGAGCATGATATAAGAATTAGATAACTCAGTGACTCATTAAAAAGGAATAATATCCAAATCATAAGCGTCCCTGAAGATGAAGAGAGAAAAAGGGGTAGAAGTTTTATGTAAGCAAATCATAGCAAAAAACTTTCCTAACCTGGGAAAAGACACAGACATCAAAATCCAGGAAGCACAGAGAACTCCCATTAGATTCAACAAAAACTGACCATCAGCAAGGCATATCATAGTCAACTTCACAAAATACACAGACAAGGAAAGAATCATGAAAGCAGCAAGGGGAAAAAAGTCCTTAACCTACAAGGGAAGACAGATACGGTGCACAGCAGACCTATCCACAGAAACTTGACAGGCAAGAGAGGAGTGGCAGGATATAGTCAATGTGCTGAATCGGAAAAATATGCAGCCACAAATTCTTTATCCAGCAAGGCTGCATTCAAAATAGAGGGAGAGATAAAAAGTTTCCCAAACAAAAAAAAACCTAAAGGAGTTCGTGACCGCTAAACCACCCCTATAAGAAATTTTAAGGGGGACTCTCTGAGGGGAGAAAAGATGAAACAAAACAAAAAATACCAAAAGCTACAAAGACTAGAAAGGACCAGAGAACACCACCAGAAACTTCCAACTCTACAGGCAACACAATGGCAATAAATTCATATCTTTCAGTACTCACTCTAAATGTCAATGGACTAAATGTTCCAATCAAAAGACATAAGGTAACAGAATGGATAAGAAAACAAGATCCATCTATATGCTGTTTACAAGAGACCCATTTTAGACCTAAAGACACCTTCAGATTGAAAGTAAGGGGGTGGAGAACCATCTATCATGGTAACGGTCAACAAAAGAAAGCTGGAGTAGTGATACTTATATCAGACAATCTAGATTTTAAAATAAAGACTGTAACAAGAGATGAAGAAGGGCATTATATCATAATTAAGGAGTCTATCCACCAAGAAGATCTAAACATTTATGCTCCCAATGCAAAACAGCCAAATATATAAATCAATCACAAAAATACAGAAACTCATTGATATTAATACCATCATAGTAGGGGACTTCAACACCCCACTTACAGCAACGGAAGTCTAATCAGAAAATCAGCAAGGAAACAATGACTTTGAATGATACAGTGGACTGGATGGACTTAACAGATATATTCAGAACATTTCATCCTAAAGCAGCAGAATACACATTGTTCTCGAGTGCACATGGAACATCCTCCAGAATAGATCCCATACTGGGACACATATCAGCTGTCAACAAGTTCAAAAAAGATCATACCGTGAATATCTTCAGACTACAATGCTATGAAACTTGAAATCGACCACAAGAAAAAAATTGGAAAGACAAATACTTGGAGACTAAAGAACATCCTACTAAAGAATGAATGGGCTAACCAAGAAGTTAAAGAGGAAATTAAAAAGTACGTGGAAGCCAATAAAAAATGATAACATGACAGCCCAAAACCTCTGGGACACAGCAAAGGTGGTCATAAGAGGAAAGTATATAACAATCCAGGCCTTCTTAAAGAAGGAAGAAAGTTCTCAGATACACAACCTAACCTTACACCTTAAGGAGCTGGAAAAAGAACAGCAAATAAAACCCAAAAACAGCAGAAGACAGGAAATAATAAAGATTAGAGCAGAAATCAATGCTATGGAAACAAATAAACAAAAAACAACAGATCAATGAAGCCAGGAGCTGGTTCTTTGAAAGAATTAATAAAATTGATAACCCCCTAGCCAGTTTGATCAAAAAGAAAAAGGAAAGGACCCAAATAAATAAAATCAAGAATGAGAGA